GCCAGGTTACTCTTGATTTTGTTCTTTATTTTAGTATTATTTTTGTTTTTACTTTATTATCTTTTATTACTTTTATCATTTTATTTTTGTTTTGTTCCTTTTTTTATTATTTGATCAGGTTTCTCTCCCCCTCTTCTCTCTGACTTTACCACTCAAAACTTACCACTTAAATTTAAAGTTAATTTCCTAGCTAGATATTCTAGCCATTTGTGTTTACCTATAGGTAGCACTCCCTTTAGTGCTTAGTTGGGGAACCGACTGGATCACCTCAATCCATCACTAAGCCTAGCCCATAGAATACTGATCCATCCAGCTAGCGAAACCCCAAAATCAGGTTTCTCCTCAATCTTTAAGGTAATTAGCCTGCTCCTGCTATCCCAGCAAGGCCAACACACTAGATGTTATGACCCAGCAGCGCCCTCTACTCTGTAGGCCCTGTCATAACCCCTAACAGCAGTGAAAGGCTTAAACCTGCTCTCTCCTCTATCTCTCTCTGTGTTTTGATTTGTTGGTTTGTTTGTTTTTCATTTTGTTCTGTTTTGTTTGCCTAGAGACCGAACCTTTGAGAATCATCAGGGAAGGCTGAGTAATAGATTGACGACCCAAGCTGCCAAAGTCTTTAGACGATCACGCTGTCAACAATCTGAGTTAGATCCTTTCCGGTGACACACAATTAGACACACCGTGCCATTCACGGCCAAGATAACAGGTGTCTGGTCTACACTCCACTAACTGTTTGTACTCATCAAACAGACCGTGCATAGAACATATAATTGCAGCCTGCTAACGCTGTAAGGACTTGCATTGGCCTTTTCGTGCTGTCCCTCTCTCCCTCTCTCCCTCTCTCTCTCTCTCCCTCTCTCTTTTCACCAGTGAGCCAGCATGTCTCGATCATCCAGCCCTGATGCCCACTGGGATCGACTAGAGTCCTGGCTGAGTGCCATAACTGGTACACTCCTATCTGAAGCAGCCGGCGGCCTGCAGCACCTGAGCCGGGAACAGCTCGACGACAACCTGAGCGCCCTGATGTCATTTTTATTTTTATTTTTAATCAGGGTTCTCTCCCCCTCTTCTCTCTCACTTTACCACTCATTTATTTAAATTTAGTTTAAACAGTGTTTGAATTCAAATTTAAAGTTAATTTCTGTATTCTAGCCATTTTTGTTCACCTATAGGTAACACTCCCTCTAGTGCTTAGTTGGTGAAGTGACAGTTGCCTCCACGGCGGATCGCAGTGAGCTGCCACGGGATCCAGACTGAATCACCTCAATCCATCACTAAGCCTAGCCATAGAATACTGATCCATCCAGCTAGCGAAACCCCAAAATCAGGTTTCTCCTCAATCTTTAAGGTAATTAGCCTGCTCCTGCTATCCAAGCAAGGCTGACACACTAGATGTTATGACCCAGCAGTGCCCTCTACTCTGTAGGTCCTGGCATAACCCCTAACAGAAGTGAAAGGCTTAAACCTGCTCTCTCCTCTATCTCTCTCTGTGCTTTGATTTGTTGGTTTGTTTGTTTTTCATTTTGTTCTGTTTTGTTTGCCTAGAGACCGAACCTTTGAGAATCATCAGGGAAGGCTGAGTAATAGATTGACGACCCAAGCTGCCAAAGTCTTTAGACGATCACGCTGTCAACAATCTTTAGTTATATCCTTTCCGGTGCCCCCCACAACAATTAGACACACCTTGCCATTTATGGCCGAGATAACAGGTTTCTGGTCTACACTCCGCTAACTGTTTGTACTCATCAACAGACCGTACATAGAACATTAGAACAAGTTGTAAGGACTTGCATTAGCCTTTTGTGCTGTCCCTCTCTCTCTCTCTCTCACTCTCTCTCTCCCTCTCTCTCTTCACCAGTGAGCCAGCATGTCTCGGCGGCCTGCAGCACCTGAGCCGGGAACAGCTCGACGACAACCTGAGCGCCCTGATGTCACACGATCCGACACAGGACTACAGCCACAAAGATCTCGCCAAGATCATTGGGTCACTAGCCCACAACCTCCTCGCTCAGGCAAAGCTGGGTGAAGCAAGCATCTCCCACATGGAACAGGAAGCAACAGCGCTGAAGGTCCAGGCTGAGGAGGCTCAGAGAAACCTGGTGCTTGCTCAAAGGCAACTGGACCAGCTAACGTCGGAGACTCAGCACCAGCACAGGACGGCGATCGAAAAGGACCCAGAGCTGCAGGAGGAAGTATAGAGACTCCAGAATGCCTTGACTGATCTCCGCTGATACCTCCTAGTCAATAATTCCCAGTTCGAAAGGGGGGTGAGAGCCCACCGCTCAAGACATCACCTGCCAGCATCCCAGAACCCCCAGCAGCAGCAAGGGGTGGGAGCCTTTCCAAAAGCTGTCTTCCAGTCACGGTGTGTCACCTTCAAGACTCCTTGGGAACCTAATCGAAAGGGGGGTGGCCAAAAAACTCTACCTGGCCATCACATTAGAAAATGAGGTGAGACTGGAGGCCCTGGTGGACACGGGAGCTGACCTCACTTTAATGTCTAGCCAACTTTTTGACAGACTTCAAAGTGAAGCCAAGAGACAGAATCGAACTCTTAAATATCAGAGGTGTGTACTGAATGTGCAATCCTACAGCCAAAATAAGGTCCAACTTGAACAGGTAGCTCCAATTCACCTGACCATCGGCCCTATGAGCTTAGTGCACCCTGTGTACATTTCTCCATTGGACACATACCCTCTCCTCATTGGCAAAGTCCTGCTACATTGTCGCGATGGCCTATGACCCAGCTGGAACAGGATATACCAAGTATCAGAGGAGCCACAATCTTCTCCACTCTTGATGTGGGGAAAGGTCACGGAAAATCTCGCCGCCAGCCGCGGGAACGTCTCGGCTCAAGAGCGAGGTTCAAGGTCGCTGCTCTGTACTTTACAGCTAGCCAAAGACTCTGACTCATACGGCCCCCAGGTTATGGGGGGCTTACAGCTGAATGATGTCACAACAACTGACCCCATACTAGCACTGTGGGCAGACAATTCAGCCATCAGCCTCTCACTGTTCAATGCTCTCAAACAGCACACAACGAACATTCCTTTTGCTAACAAGCGCACACGATTCCCTTTGAATCCCTGCCCATCAGCTATGGTGACTGCCAAGGGCACCTGTGCCCTGAACTTGAGGTGGAATGACAGGTGTCTAACCCATTACTTCCTGGTCCTTCCAGACGCACCGCATGATGTCTACATCGGAGCAGACATTCTGATTCGCCTCAGGGCTCACGTGGACATGATCAATGAAGTGATATGGGCTCCAATGACCTCACAGTCACCCACGGTTCCTGTCAACCTTGAGAACCTCCTTTCAGGCCAAACCATCCCTGAGGCCTGCACGCTAATCAATGAAAAAGAGACTGTAGTACCAGCTTACACCAAAGGGGTCGCTGTTCGACTCAACCTGCGAAGCGGCCAAGCTCTCAGCCACACCCTAGGCTTCTTCCAACCTTCACCCGAATGTGGGGAACTGGGCCTCACTTTGGAAGCCACACCCCTCGTTGAAGTGACATCTCGGGCAGTCTACATCTTGTTCAATAACTGCACGGCAACGGATGTCAGAGTGCCTAAGGCGTACCGTCTGGGTTGGCTAGTGAGTTATGACTTCCATGACTTTGAACTAATTCTACCAATAATTGGACCCATCTCAGATTCAATGATTCCAGAAGAAAGCTCAGGCCACACAGTGTCAACAGCACCCTTCAAGATCATCACCATAACCTCAGTCATGCCAGTGGTCAAGGAGCAGGTGTGTAGAACAGAACTAACAGAAGACCAACACTTTGCCGTGTACACGGTCTCTAACCACTCCACCTGCATAAATGACAGCGTGACTGCACCTCTGACCGCCCACGGCACAGAGGAATTAATGACAGAAGAGCCATACCCAGGTTTTGAGACACAAGTCCAGCAAATTCTGAAAGATGCTGATGCCATACAGGAGGATGCAGACCGCCACAAACTCCGTCAAGTCCTGTACAAATACAAGGAATCATTTGCCAAGGACTCTTTAGATTGTGGCCTCACTAACCTCCATGTTGTGCGTGTCCCAACGCACCCAAAAGCTCCACCCACTTTTGTCAAGCAATACAAGATCCCCCTTGAATCGTACGAACCCGTACAGGAGATCATCAACTCTATGCTTGAGAAGGGTGTCATTCGTCCGTGTAACAGCACCTACTCTGCCCCCATCTGGCCTGTCCTCAAATCAAACGGCAAGTGGCGGCCAACCATCGACTATAGGAAACTGAATCAGCAGGTGCCATTGTCGCGATGGCCTATGACCCAGCTGGAACAGGAGATACCAATAATCAGAGGAGCCACAATCTTCTCCACTCTTGGTGTGGCCTCAGGATTTTGGACTATACCAGTGCATCCAGATGACCAACACAAGCTGGCTTTCACCTTTTGCAATCGGCAGTACACCTTCACCAGGTGCCCATTCGGCTATGCCAACTCACCAGCCGAATTTAACATCTTCCTCAACAAAGCATGCCCGGATGCCAGGGTAAGAGGGAACTTAATCTATGTTGACGACCTTCTGATGAAACACACGATGGTGACCGATCACCTGAAAGAAATTGACCATGTCCTGCACCAATTGACCATTGCCAGTGCCAAGATTGCCCTCCACAAAGGACAATGGTGTAAAACCAAGGTGAACTACGTGGGCCTGCTCATCGGACCACGGGGCATTGAGCCACAAACCAGCCAGAGAGCGGCCATCCAGGCCATTCAGAACATTAAACCACCCGCCAATGTCTCAGAACTTCGAAGTTTTCTAGGCGTGTTCAACTATTCAAGGCAGTTCATTGAGAACTATTCAGACATTGCACGCCCTCTCACTGCCCTTCTGAAAAAGGACTGCCCCTTCGTCTGGACAGACGATCAGCAAAATGCCATGAATGAGCTGAAACGACATCTGTGCATTGCTCCATGTCTGGCTTACCCAGATCCAAAGAAGGAGTTCTACTTGGACGCTGGGTTCACCAGCCACTGCCTCAGCGTTGGTCTATACCAATGGCATGCAGCACCTACTCTGCCCCCATCTGGCCTGTCATCAAATCAAATGGCAAGTGGCGGCCGACCATCGACTATAGGAAACTGAATCAACAGGTGCCATTGTCGCGATGGCCTATGACCCAGCTGGAACAGGAGATACCAAGAATCAGAGGAGCCACAATCTTCTCCACTCTTGATGTGGCCTCAGGATTTTGGACTATACCAGTGCATCCAGATGACCAACACAAGCTGGCTTTCACCTTCGGCAATCGGCAGTACACCTTCACCAGGTGCCCATTCGGCTATGCCAACTCACCAGCCGAATTTAACATCTTCCTCAACAAAGCATGCCCGGATGCCAGGGTAAGAGGGAACTTAATCTATGTTGACGACCTTCTGATGAAACACACGACGGTGACCGATCACCTGAAAGAAATTGACCACGTCCTGCACCAACTGACCGCCGCCGGTGCCAAGATTGCCCTCCACAAAGGACAATGGTGCAAAACCAAGGTCAATTACGTGGGCATACTCATCGGACCACGAGGTATTGAGCCACAAACCAGCCGCATCCAGGCCATTCAGAACATTAAACCACCTGCCAATGTCTCAGAACTCCGAAGTTTTCTAGGCGTGTGCAACTATTCAAGGCAGTTCATTGAGAACTATTCGGACATTGCACGCCCTCTCACTGCCCTTCTGAAAAAGGACTGCCCCTTCGGCTGGACAGATGATCAGCAAAATGCCATGAATGAGCTGAAACAACATCTGTGCATTGCTCCATGTCTGGCTTACCCAGATCCACAGAAGGAGTTCTACTTGGACGCTGGATTCTCCAGCCACTGCCTCAGCGCTGGTATATACCAACGGCATGACCAGGACAAAAGGGTGGTCGCATATGCCAGCAAGACTCTTCTTCCCTCAGAGTGCAAATACTCACACTGTGAGAAAGCCCTGCTGTGTACTGTATGGGCCATCCAGAGATTCTCCATCTACATCGGAGCACAGAAAGTGATCATAGAGACCTGTCACATTTCTTAACAGCCAGCGTATTCCACGACGGTGTGGTCACAAACGCACGTATAGCCACATGGCTAATGGCCCTCCAGGGGTGCAACGTAGAAGCGGTGTGGTCACAAACGCACGCATAGCCACATGGCTCATGGCCCTCCAGGGGCGCAATGTAGAAGCACGATATGCTCAAAATCACAAGTCGGCGCTGGGAAACGGCCTGGCAGCCTGCCAAAGCTGCTCCGATGACACACCGACTGAGATCGTAGAAGCAGAAAGGCCCCAACTACTGCCACCTACCTGCCTCAGGTATTTTGACGAGAATGTCTTCCAAGGCATGCCCACAGCCTACGTAGATGGATGTTCCTACAACCACGAGGGCATCTTAAAGGCAGGTGCTGATGTTCTCTGGCTAAATGATCGACCTTGCCCACCACAACACTTCAAGCTGGGTCCACAATCATCACAGATAGCGGCTATTCTCATAACCCTCCAGATAGCATCGACCCATAACATCAGAGAACTGCTCATCTGCACAGACTCCAACTATGCCAGACTTGGCTTCACATGCCATCTTCCAGGCTGGAAGCAAAATGGTTTCAAGACAGCAAACAACAAACCAGTTAAACACCAACACCTGTTCCAGGCATGCGACGACATCACATGTGAACATGATATGATCGTCTACTGGAAGAAAGTGAAAGGACACTCAAAGCAACCTGGTCCAGACAAGGACCTCAACGACCAAACGGATGCCCTAGCCAAAGCAGGTGCACTACAAGGCGAGTTATGGTCTCCACCATCCCACCCACCCTTAACATGGCAGCCATAACCCGCAGCAAACAAACTCAACCCACCACAATGCCCACCTCACAGCCGCTTACGCTGGCTCCTCAAATCTCCACTAATGACATTGCCGACATGCAAGCTTCTGACTCCGCCATCAAAA